AAAGTATTGTAGAAGCAAGAGAAAGTTCTAATGCAATTTCACATCAAAGTCATAAATATTTGTGCAAATTGGCATTTCCTACAAATATAAAATCGAAAAGATGGTAAAATATTGTTCCACCGTCTGTGTAACAATTACGATTACGCAATAAATATTTTGTAAGTACGGTGAATTTTTGACATATTTTGTACTTTTATATACAATGTTTTAATTTATAAATTCAATTACACTTGTGTTTAATTTGCTCTTGCTTCCACGTACTGGCTTCTACGATATTGAAATCAAAATATTTATTGTAGCAATGGACATGAATAAATTGATGCCATTTATTTTAGGAAATATTATTTTATATTATTTTATTATATTATATTGTTATATTATATTATATTATATTATTTTATACTATATTATATTATTTTATATTATATTATATTATATTATTTTATACTATATTATATTATATTATATTATACTGTATTGTATTCTATTCTATTCTATTCTATTATATTATATTGTATTATATTGTATTATATTGTATTATATTATATTATATTATATTATATTGTATTGTATTGTATTGTATTGTATTGTATTATATTATATTATATTATTTTATATAATAATATTATTATTTCATAGAATTTTATTTAATTCTTCGGAAAAAGTATCCTATATTTTTAAATAGTGATATGCATGATAGAATTTTCTACTAAATTTTACACTTGCCGTAACTCTGAAAATTATGCATTTTCATTTCATAGTTGGACCTTCAGAGATTCTGAAAAATATCAGATGGACAGGGTGTGCGAAATGTGGAGAGAAAATTTGCTCGAGGAGCTTAGAAATTTGATTCTTGTCACTTGGAAAGAATGCGACGTGTTTTTAACAACCCTTTATTTATAACCACTGTGGAAACCGGTTTTTCGAAAGGAAAGGCAAAACTTGAATCATTCAGTTCCTGCAAAGAACGATGAATCATGCACTGCATAATTTGCCCGCGGGGTTAAAGCAAATTTATCAAACGTGGGTTCTATTTAAGAAAGGGAATAATATTCTTCTTGCAATGCAATTAAACATGCGTGAAATACGATTGATTAGTTGTTCGTTGAGCACGTGATAAAGAATGATTAAATTATTAATCAACGACATTAATTTTAACACTGTTTGAATATAATAACTTTATATAATGTAACAAAATATATAATAAAATATAAATTTGTTCTCAACAAATAAATACAATATATAATATATGTATTATTATTATTATACAAAATTATATATCCAGACGATAAAATGCTTTCTTGAATTTTTGTCATTTAATCCTAACATTCAACGTTCAATGAAACAGTAAACAAAAATCATACAGGTTTTAAGAGGTCGTTATAAAAGAGAGACTTCGATTTTTAAAATGATGGATCTAATTTTTAAAAAAATTTTGTTTAACGTTTTTATGTACGTTTGAATTTTTACAATTTTCAAAAAAAAGAAAAAAGAACTATCAAGGTTTATTTAAAGTGAAGGCCAAGAACAAAAAAAGAACTATCAAGGTTTATTTAAAGTTATTAAAGTGGAGGCCAAGAACATCGTTATATGATCTTTTTACGAAAATTAATTAATTTATCTTCATAAAAATAAATTATATTTAACATTAATTTATTATTTAATGAATTTATTATAATGCGAATTGAATAAGAAATAGTTAATAATGTTCTAAACAATAATAAAATTAAACAAAAAATTTTTACTTTTTTAAAAAAATAAATTTCAATTATTAAATCTTTTGAATAGAATTCAACTAAAAAAGAAAAACCACATAATATTATTAAAGAAAATATTATAATTATTCTTTTTACTGGATAAATATAAAATATTCCTTTATAAAAATGAAAATTTTGAATATCAGTTTAAATTATCCATATTGGTACATCTACGCTTTTCACTATATCCTTCTAATAGTCTCAAAAAAATGCAACACCAAGAGACGAACGAATTTATTATTATTATATTATATAATTATATTTATTATTATTATAATATTATTTAATTATATTTATTATTATTATAATATTATTTAATTATATTTATTATTATTATTATATTATTTAATTATATATTATTATTATTATATTATTTAATTATATTCATTATTATTATATTATATAATTATATTTATTATTATTATATTATATAATTATATTTATTATTATTATACTATATAATTATATTTATTATTATATAATTTATTAACCCTATTAATACTCTACCAATCTATTTTCAACAATTCCAACTACAAATTCTTCAGAAATGAAGAATCGCAAGAAACTACGTCCTTATTTATCATTACAAAAATTGCAGATGTTTTCTCTTTACAATTTTCTACGTGAGAACGAGAAAGTCGCGGGACCGTGTACAAAAAAAAAAAGAGAGAAGAAAAAATTTTCGAGTGACAACGCGAGAGGGCATAACGGTACGCAACGCGTTCGTGGAGAACAATGATCGACCTCGAGACTTGGCTGACTTGGCGAATAAACTGAAATTGCACGGCACGACGAAGACTGACAGCCATCATGATTCCGTCATTCGCGAGGCCTCTTCATCAGAGACGATTTTCCGCCCATGTTCATTAAAGCATGGCCTAACTGTAGTTATATTTATACACGCGGAACGCATGGAAAAGCGTAATCACGTGCAGCAATTGATCACGCGAATCGCGGCGATTACGCCCTGCTCGATCTTTATTCTCCTGATTTCGTTCGAACCCATTGTCGCCAGAAACAATCATCTTGCGTTTCATTTGCAAATTTTATTGCCAGATTATGTCTCTCAATGCTTATTGGATCTATTTATTTAATATTTTATCGTCATTTTGTATCGTAATCTAGGTTCTATAAGTAGACTGCGGATTTTTATGCGTTTTATGGAAAATTGCAGAGATGTAAATAATGTATGTAATGAAAAATAAAATATTCGAAGTATTTGTTATTTATTAATATTTTATATTTAGTATATTATATTTAAAGTATAAATAATTTTCTACCGAGGTTCTATTTTTTTTTTCGTCACGTTCTTAAAAGTATTAATTTATATAAAAATTTACAGTCGAATTATAGCATAATATTGTAATAATATAAAAATATAATATATAACAATTATATATTAATACTATAATAATACTAATATAATTACTAATACTAATACTATAATACAATTATATATTAATATATATTAATACTATAATATATAACAATTATATATTAATACTATATTATTATATAAATATATAATAATATAGTATTAATATATAATATAGTATTATAGTATTACTTATTAATCGCATATAGTATTATAATAATAAATTTTTCATTTAAATTCTTTATAATTCTTTCATTTATATTCTTTGTTTTTCTCTACTTTTTTAATTATATAGTTCTGAAAATTTAAAAATGCATAGAAATCCGCAATAGAATTGTGTAATATAATTTTACGAAATTTTAAGAAATTTAAATATCTACAATATTATAGTAAATTATCGCTTGGTTCCTAATGGGTTTAACATAGTGTTAAAACGATATTTCAATTCTTTCTTTTTTTTTTCAATTTACAGCTCCTTGTTACTAAGTTAAGAAATAATCGTGATTTCTAATGTTTTAATAAAATTGGAGAGTCTGGACGAAATTTAATTTCGTCACAATACTACATAGATATTTATAATTTATACAGAATGAATCTAGGAACTAGACTGGACTGTAACTCTATTTCTACTATGAAGATGGAAAAATATTATAGAAATAAATTTTGCATTGTTTAAGAATAGCTATCATCGTGCAATTGCATTTGTTTTTTAAATGAAACTCGAAACTTTGTTTTTCATGAATTGATTCCTTTCGTGTCACTCTAAATGAAAGATATAATAAAAGAAAATGAAAATATTAGAGCACGATGTCAAAAATCTTTAAATACAGGAGAGCCTTTATTCTCATACTGTCTTATTTCTCATATTGTTAAAAATAAAGGAGATATTCAAATCTTCGGTCTTAAATGGGATACTCTGTATATTTTTAGATTTATTTCACTAATAATCAGTGTTCGTTGAGTCTTAGTATATTATTTAGATATAGGAGAGCCTTTATTCTCATACTGTCTTATTTCTCATATTGTTAAGGATAAAGGAGATATTTAAATCTTTGGTCTTAAGTGGGATATCCTGTATATTTTTAGATTTATTTCACTAATAATCAGTATTCGTTGAGTCTCAGTATAATATTTAGATATAGGAGAGCCTTTATTCTCATACTATTTTATTTCTCATATTGTTAAAAATAAAGGAGATATTTAAATCTTTGGTCTTAAGTGGGATACCCTGTATATTTTTAGATTTATTTCACTAATAATCAGTATTCGTTGAGTCTCAGTATAATATTTAGATATAGGAGAGCCTTTATTCTCATACTGTCTTATTTCTCATATTGTTAAGGATAAAGGAGATATTTAAATCTTTGGTCTTAAGTGGGATACCCTGTATATTTTTAGATTTATTTCACTAATAATCAGTGGTCGTTGAGTCTCAGTATAATATTTAGATATAGGAGAACCTTTATTCTCATACTATTTTATTTCTCATATTGTTAAAAATAAAGGAGATATTCAAATCTTCGGTCTTAAATGGGATATCCTGTATATTTTTAGATTTATTTCACTAATAATCAGTATTCGTTGAGTCTCAGTATAATATTTAGATATAGGAGAGCCTTTATTCTCATACTGTCTTATTTCTCATATTGTTAAGGATAAAGGAAATATTTAAATCTTTGGTCTTAAGTGGGATACCCTGTATATTTTTAGATTTATTTCACTAATAATCAGTGGTCGTTGAGTCTCAGTATAATATTTATAAAATTTTGAAATGTTTCATATAACATGTATAACGTATTCATAAAAAGTACTTGTAACCGTTGGAACATCTTCGTGAACAAATTAAAACCTTGAATAATATTTCTAACATTTCTTTAAAATTCTTACATTTCGAAACAGGAACACCGTGCAAATGAAAGTACAATTATTACATGCATAACAAAAAAAAAAAAAATGTGCGACTCACCCTCCATGACATATACAATGGACCCAACATCTCCTTCGCGTATGATGATTGAACCTGCCGAGAAAGTAACAGGATACATGCAATCCACGATCTCCCGGATTTGCGTTAGCTCCAGATTCTTCATGAAGTCATTGTCCAAAATGGCTGCTTTGATTAGTTCGCGAGATCTGCGAACAAAATGAAAAAGAAGATCAGACATCTTGTTCCGTTCAAGGCTTCCGTTTTAATCGTCAAAAGATTATTAGTAAAATACGAACGTCTGTGCAAACAGGAGACCGGTTTCGGTTGTTTCTGTAATACAGGGTGTTTTAATAAGAATTAGCACTTATTTCGGAGAGACGTGAGAAAAATCTCTATTCGCAAAGACTGTTCAGTTGCTTAAAGAGGCAGCTATAAAAAATACGGCAATAATAACTCTTTTTGTACGTGGAAGAGTTTCGGAGATTTCAAAGTCATTTTTTTTTTTTTTTTTAATGAAATCACGTGTCTTTTTAACACATTGATCTCTAAAGATGCTTCTTTCTTAATTCTGATCTTGAAGATCAAAGTTTCCCATTTACAACGAATCCTTAAAATTCGTACGATTTTTTTCACCAAGTACCTTTATTACAGATAAGATTTATTACAGATAAATTATTTATTACGGATAAAGTACACATTATTTATTACAGATATAGTATACATAATAAAACGAAATTATTTACATGTTTGAGACGAAAGGTAATAAGCTTTCAAAAATAACTTTTAATTTTCTGATAATTAGATAAATAATATGTTACGCGGAATTATAATATTCATTCATTTGAAAACATCATTCCAATAAAATGAAATAAATGAGAACTGTAATATATATAAAATAAAATAAACTTATATTATAAAATTATATTAAATAATTTAAAATAAACTTATAATATAAAACTATATTAAATAATTTAACAGTTGTAATAAATAAACTGAATTATTAGAACAAAGTCACAATTCTGTTAAAGTGACTTAAAACAGAAATGGAATCATTTAAAAGTTAAAAGTTCGATAAATAATTTTTATTTATAGGAATTAACAGTTTTAGTCGATCTCCGGAATAAACTCAGAAAATTGGAGATAAATGTTTTGTTGTAACGTGCTGAAACATCAGTGGAGAGAGTAGTATGTTAATAGGTATAGTGTAGCTTGTTGATTTTTATATTTATACTTATATTTAGGTTTGGAGTTAATGAAGCAATTCGACATCCAATTATTATTAAGAAATTCTTTCAACTTTTATTTACAAACTGACTTTATTTACAATTCTGTTCAATGACAAAAGATGGTTCCTGATTGATGATATTTGCAAAACGATGTCGAATTTTTGGTAGAAGCTTGCCCTCACACATGGATTTTCCGTTCAGACAAAATTTCTTTACTAAATGTTACAATGATTACTCTAACACTTGCAACATTTTGCAACAAGCTTTGTAACAATGTAAACATAAATATTTAACTATATAGCTACAGCTATAAACACTCTGTGTATTTTTACATTTCTACGTGCCACATATGCCAACGTGTTTTGTACATTTTTGCTCATTTAAGTTTCTCATGAATGCATAAAAATCCGCAGTCTAATTATTATGAGTAATCTGCAGATGTTTATGCAAATTCACATCTTCGAAATTATAGGTAATACTATACATTATATATAATATTACACATAATTACATATAATCAATAAACATTATGCAGAGGAAAGAATTTTATCAAATTATACTTTACATATTATAGAGAGACACTTTGGAATATATGCACATGAAATTTTTTCACTCTGACGAAAATTTCTCCTATAAAAGCATAAAAATCTGCTGTCTAATTACTATTAGAAATGTTGAAAGGTCAATTCGACGATAAAAGATTAAATGCAATTCGTACTATCGTCATTCTAAATAAACGCGAGAATGTGTGTGTGTGAGGTGTACCACACTATCTTCTTGTACTCTGTACTTGCTTAGTATACAATTTGCGGTGTGTAACAGGTGCAGCGTGATAAACATAGTTCGGTACTTTTGATGTTCCCTTTTGCTGAATAAACGCGATTATTATCATTGCAACGTCGGCTGTACATAATGTTAAATGTACATACGCAGACATCAAATGCGGAAATTGTCACAAAGATTCCTAGAATCTTTCTGATTGAGCTATCATATTTATTCGTTGAAGTCGACCAGAAGCAAGAGCAGAATTTATTGTCCCATAAACGTAAACAAAATAACATTCCAACTGAATTCGACGACAAAGTCATCCAGTCATTTTGCATTCGGTCATACAACAAATAATTTAAACATAATCATTTGATCATTTGATAAATAACTCGCATTTAATCATTTGATCATTCGATAAATTAATCATTTAGTCGATTAATAAATAAAAAAACATGAAATGAAAAGTACTCGTCGCGAAGCAAAATAATTTCTCAACTTAACGTTCCAACAAAGTCATTTAATCATTTACGAGATAATTTGCATTTAATGGTTTATTAAGTGTGCAAATTAATTCGTAGCCTTTATTTATCAATTGTAATTTGTTTCTTCAATGTTTTAAATAGAAAACTACAAGGTAAACGAATAATATGAATTACACAATTTCAAAAAGTGATCAAAAATCATAGATAAAATATGATTGGAAATTATGCGAATACAGACACAAAGAACAAATGGATGCTATTAACTACATAATGTCAAATACAGAACAGTGTTGTCCGATAGCATATCAGACTACCACACCGTAATTTCTTTGTGTTTTAATTGAAAAATGCATGTCTACACAATCGAAAGTAGATTTCAATTTTTCTGTAATGAGAAAACCAATTAATTTGTACATAAAATAGTGAATAACTGTGAAAAATGAAAGAAATAACTTTCCCTAATTTAATTTCACGATGAAATCGTTTAATCATTTAACAAATAATTTAATCATATAATCATTCAATTGCTTAATAAAACAATAATAAATATGAATAATAATATTTATATTTAAATATATAAATATTTATTATGAATAATAAAAAGGATATCAGTCGTGTAGCAATTTGAATGATTTTTCAATTAACATTATTTTAACATTGCACGCATTGGTCGTGATCTCTCATTTAATATTTAAACGATGAAACGAAACGGAAGAATGGAGAGTTTAAAGAGTGCAGCTTTTAGAAAGTTGCGCAAGAGCTCACCTTACAACGAATTGAATAGGGTTGCCGATGAAAGAGGTTGCTTAAGAAACAACACAAGTTAACGAAGCCACGTGTCGCGAATTAAAAATAGCCTGAATGTAACACCGTGTCACGTACTTTCGCAGTGAATGCGATTTGTATAGGTGAAACCGGTGACTGGAAGTTGCGCAAGCAACCAAATTTCACTCTTAATAATAGTTACAGCCATGATCGTTGAGTCATCGATCTCCCTATACGGCCTTCAAATCAACAACAATGATAGATTAGCGCAATAGTAGTACAGAATATTGAGTTAGGATACAATCAACTGAACATACGTCAATTTTGATCATTAACTATACGACTCCTTTCTTATATTGAGGTTTATAATAAATGCGACAAACGATGAACAAACTGGATATATATTAATCACTTTCCAATCGATTTGAATAATACCTGCCAAATTTCAAATACTTAAAGAAAAACGAGAATTTTATTATTATTTTATAGATATTAAATGATGATCTTTTTCACATTTGTTTATTGTAGAATAAAATATGTAAATTAGATACAGAAGCCCGTCAAACATTTAAATGTGTACTTATTATTATTATGATTATATGAATGATTTTAAATTGCGTAAGATTTTGTTTTGATTTATCTATATCTTTAAACAAATGGGGAAAACATTTTTAATATTCTAGAAATAGTATAATTTCAACTAATTAATTAATTGTTAATTAAAATCTAACTAATTAAGTAATTGTTAATTAATTGTTAATAGTCAGTAATTGTTAATTAATTGTAAATAAATAGTCTACACATTTTGATTTTAATTAACAATTAATTAACAATTAAGTTAGTTAAATAAAATTTTTAAAGTTAATTGAAACCAAAATGTGTAGACTTGTAACCGACTACAGTTTTATATAAATTCATATTTTCCAGAATATAATTTAAAAAAATAGTAGAAAATTGTTTTACGTATTATTGAGAGCACTATACTTTTCGTTAATTCTTTAGAAAATTACGTTAGAATATTCCTAACCTATACATTCAAACAAAGAACAAAAACTGACAAATTGTAACTTGACTATCCAAGTCGAAATAGGTTAAGTTTTCTTTAAATGTAAGGCCAACAATAAACGATTGGAAATTGCATTAGAATTTACTGAATTTACATACTCAAAAGTTAAAAAAAACTCATTGTCAGAATATTTATGGTTTCT